TCTGGAATCCATTCCGCCAAACTGCACTTCAACAGCTCTCCTGCCGGCCTACCTACAAGTTCAACTTTCATCCAGGGAGATCTTTCACCCAGTGGACATAAGTACCTTTATCAAGTCCACATCAAGCAGATTCCTACCGAGTTCACCATTCAGTGTCAAGGTTGGTGCAGATTTGATAGGGTTCCGATAGTCCGTTGGTTCATTGTATGCTGGTCTGATGATTTACATATCTCCTGAAAGTCATTTATATATCTTCTGAATGTCCTTTATTGCTTTTTTGTTGATTACGCGCTTGTTTATGAGACGGAGAGTTATTTTAGATGAATGTAGAAATTCCACCTGGTGTTAGAGTAGCAAAAAAATATTTCACGACAAGTTTCATTAATCAGTGTTTGTGATAAACTCTGAATAAAATCTTCAACTGTGCAAAACAAACTGGGAATGAGTGGGTTCTTCAGCCAATCAAATGTAATCTTCTGTAATAAATTGTTTTTATATCTCAACCATTGGCACCTGATAATGTTTTGATCGGCTGTATTTATTCATGTTTTCATTCACATGAGAGAGAGACTCAGAGAGAGTTCAACTACGCCGTTTTTAGTAATATTCCAGCAATATCCCAACAGAGGGCTATATAGAAGTAGAGAGTTTGGGCACAAATTCATTTATTCAAGCAGTGTTGTGGCTGCATATCAATGTTTTAGAATGTTCAAGAAGTAAAAAATATAACAGATATTTAAGAAAGGTTTCAGCAAGAAGATGATGAAAGTGAGTGAGTGATTTGGGTTTTATGCCGCTTTTAGCAATATTCCAGCAATATCGGGCGGGGACATCAGAAATGGGCCTCACACATTGTGCCCATGTGGGGAATCGAACCCGGGTCTTTGGCGTGACGAGTGAACGCTTTATCCACTAGGCTACCCCAACGCCCCTAGATGATGAAAGACAGACATATTCAAATTTAAGCATTGACAGGCTCATAGATAACTTCTGATGCCAACCAGCGCCTACCAAGCCTAACTTTGACACCCTTGACTTCAGAATGATTTTACAGAGTCGGACATTACCTTGAGAACTTTCCCCACCTTTGGCTTCTTCGTCAAAATGAAAGTAGAGGTTACACATATGTACACATTCATGATACATAGCTCGGACCTCCACACGGCCACTGAATCACGGACATTACCTTGAGAACTTTCCCCATCTTTGGCTTCTTCGTCAAAATGAAAGTACAGGTTACACATATGTACACATTCATGAGGTTACACGACCATGAATCACACATTACCTTGATTTCCCCACCTTTGGCTTCTTCGTCAAAATGAAAGTACAGGTTACATATATGCTTCATGATACATAGCTCGGACCTCCACACGGACCACTGAATCACGGACATTACATTACCTTGAGTACACTATTTCATGATACCTCATCTTTGGCTTCTTCTTTCCCCACCTTTGGCTTCTACGTCAAAATGAAAGTACAGGTTACACATATGTACACATTCATGATACATAGCTCGGACCTCCACACGGCCACTATATCCATATCTACTGCATCGGACAAAGTACTGATGATAACACTGATAGCCATGATAACTGATGCAGACAGAAATATCACATTAGGACCAACCATTTGATATTGATGTGGGACTGGGATTTGTATCAGGTCGAGGCATTTCTTCAGCTGCTGTTTCAAACCAGATATATTTACTTATTTATGTTAACTATATCAATATGAATCAAGCCTTTTACCAACTATAGTTGGAACAAAAGATACCTGTGTGAGATTCTCAAGATTATTTAAGATGAAACAGTGTGCAAAATAGCCACTGGTCCGCTAGCCCTCGGCTAGTAAAAATCCAGATGGGCCAGTAAATCTCCACAGTCAGTGAATTTTCATGGGGTCATTTTGTAAATAGATCACTCTCTCCGACTTGTTAAGTTATAATACACTTTTAAATCATGCAAGATTATGGCCTGATAAAAATGTTCATCATAATTGCAGCTTAATGATGAAACCTGTGTCTACATTCAAATTTCAGGTTAGTGAATTATTTTGTGGGCTAGTAACTTTAAATCATAGCTAGCCCAAGTGGCTAGCAAAATTTGGAAACTATCTCACACACTGTGAAATGAATTTCGGCACCACATAATTTAAAATTCAACTTGTTGCTAAAGTAATGACAAGGAGAAAGTATATGGATGGTATTAAAATGACACTAATAAAGGTCAAGTCACATGCCTCGCACACGACGCATAGGATAAAGGTTTTCATATTGGTAAAGGCGGGCGTTAAGATCATTTCTGATGAGTTATTACATTGTGCGAAGTAAAAATCCAGTTGGGCCAGTAAATCTCCAGTCACTGGCCCGATGAGCTAATGAATTTTCATGGGGTCATTTTGTAAATATATCACTCTCTTTGAATTGTTAATTTATAATACACTTTTAAATCATGCAAGATTATGGCCTGATAAAAATGTTCATCATATTAGAAGCTAAATGATGAAACCTGTGTCATTCTGACAATATCTTATTCTGATCTATTTTTGTAATCTTTTGCTTAATTTCTACATTCAGATTTCAAGCTAGTGAATTATTTTGTGGCTAGTTACTTTCAAATAGCTTGCCGGACTGACTAGCAAAATTTGGGAACTATTTCGCACACTGTATTAATTATCGGTAAGTCATTAATTTTCTGATCATTTCTTTTAAATTGACTGTAAAGCACATTTACCAAAAAATCATTTATCAAGCATATTTATTGTAGAGATTACTTGACATGAAAGATTTTAGTTTCAACCAAGACAGCCATCACTGCCAGCAAGACAATCTAAGGGAGGTAATTCACTCAGCTCTACTGCTTGAGTTAGACCATGTTGCTCTCTTCAAATGATTCATAAACATTAGGAAATTCACATTATCATCCTTTGTTTAATAATCATGAATTAATGCCAAAACAATTTCACAAATTTATTCATAGATGTATTCAACAGATTTGTACATTTTTCATGAATTTCAGCTCAATCCTGATGTTAAATACTAAACATTTCTTGCAGTACAAATATGCATAATGTAAGGAGATGTATTAACATAAATGTACATATATTCCCACTTAAATACTAGGCCTGGGTATTGTGAAATATTTAGCTCAGCAAGGTAAGTAAATGTTTCTTTCAGTATAATGCAAGTTTTCCTTTACGGTCTGTTTAGACTACACAACATATGGTCGGAAATACTCAACACCCATCACAGTGTTTTATGTTCGGCAACTCTGAGTCATGTTGGTTGGTTTAAGAGATCGACACAAAAATCTTTCTTACAAAGAAGAAAAGGAGAGTTTTCATCTTTCTTCTGAAATGAATTTTCACCTGCTTTAATGAATTTTAGGCCAAAATTGTAGTAAATCAACTGAACTAAAAATAAAAAGCATTATAAAAAACCCTTGATGATTTAGAAGTCCAAAATCTGAAGATTTCAGGGTTCTTATTGATTCAAAAACAGAAGTCTTAGGGATAGGTGGATTGAAAACCTACTACAGCCAATCTCATAGCTATAGGAATCAAATACCCAATTATGATCTAAGTCATATCTTTAACTAAAATATTCCTAGTTTTGAATGAAAAATAACTGATATTCATAGGACCAAAAACAATACTTAGGTCTTAAAATGACATTTTTCTTTCTTTGTTTTAAATTTGAATTATTTCATTAACTTCTGAGAGTGTCATTTTAAAAGTTGGGACGAACAATATAGAACAAACTTTTCAAGATAGCAACTCTCTTAATTATTCTTGAGACCGCCTCTGTGGTGTAGTGGTTAGAGCGTCCGCCCGGAGAGTGGAAGGTCGCGGGTTCAATCCCCGACCGCGTCGTACCAAAAGACGTTAAAATATGGTACTTGTTGGTCCCTGTCTGGTGCTCGGCATTAATGGGTACAATAAGGACTGGTCGGCTTGGAGTCAGTATAATGTGTCTGAGTGGGGTATTCATGCTTCACTGGAATCTCAGTGGGATAGCACTATAAAACCAGCTTAAGTCTGGGCTAGTACAAGCAGCCGCACATACACATACACACGCATGCACGTCGTCATATGAGTGAAATATTCTCAAGCACGACGTCAAACCCAATTTCGCCTCACCTCACCTTAATTATTCTTGAAAAAAATAATAACAATTTTGTCTTAAATCATCAACTCAAGCATCTCATACCATGTGAAAATAGTGTCATACATTTATTGTCAAGCCAGGGTAGAGTTATGTATCTAGAACTGCTAAGAGGCTTCTATTAACTTATAGCGCCAATGTCTGCAGCAAATGATAGTCAAAACTGGATTTTAATAATGACAATTTCTCAAAATTTACAAAAATAAGAAGATTACAAAATATCAAATTTACTACAATATAACAATACTTTCAAAAACTTCCTTGACAACGTCTAAAGACCTAGAGAAAACTCTGTCATATTTGTGCATAAAGAAACGTACAATGGGTGTACATCTTCAGTATTGACAACGACCCGGACAGCTAAATATGCTTAATTTAGTGGTTGTAGTCATTACTTTCAGTTACATCCTTTGGTGATACCGCGAGAACAGCAACAAATGATGAGGACGGAGGTGGACATAAATGTTTGTGATAAATATTCTTGAATAAAAACGGGCATATTCGTAATAAATGGAAATATCGATCTTATTTTTGGAGGTTATGATAATAAATTGTGTAAAAAATATTCATTTCTGTGAACAACCTGCCGCAAAAGGTTCAAGGAAACGATGCTCACAGTTTAGTCGTTTAAAATACACCGTAGAATAAATGTTTACGTTTAAGAACAAAGGGTCACTGTTTGATAGGTGTTCGAATCAAAACATTTACTCTCCCTCGAGCAGACAAATCAAATGTCAAATCCACTTACGAGGCGATGGGTGAGGCCTTCATCAGAACCTGCATGCATGTTTACACCTGCCGCATCTGGTTAAATACACATACCAGTACTTACCCAAACCAATAGCCCTGAAATCCGACACCCCACGAGGCGTCTGGGTTCAATTAGAAAGGTGTAATCAACACCAATTCGCCTCAAACGGATTAAAATTGATGGAGATGCCAGAATATGGCTACCGATGACGTCATTCTGTAATAAAGCCAGGAGAACGATCAAAGGGGAGTAACTCGGCTCAGCAGGTGCCCGTTTGACTGGAGAATGCGTCATCCAGAGATCTTTATTGTGCTATGATTCATAGACGAAGAACATTGGCGATATGTTGTATAGATTTGTAGAATAAATTTGCATGATAACAATTATAAAACCAACTTACATGAATCAATTCATATCAAATCGCATTGGGTATAGTAACAGTTACAAGAATAGGAACGAAATCGACGAAGCTTGAAATGAAACGAGAAAAGAAAACAGCAATAGCATATGTCCCAGATTATCTCAAACATATTTTCTATTCAAAAGAATAAATTGTGGTGAATTTACCCTGAATAATGCATCGAGGTCACACGTATGAAAATGTCAACTTTGACAGGTCACGAACTGTGATAAACATATACTCATGCCAATAATGGTTGTCACCCACCTCCCCACCCCAACCCCACACCCCCTCTCAATTAAAAAAATTGAAGGGGATGACAACCATTATTGGCATGAGTATATTACCACAAGAATATATAATATTCAACGCAAATATTTATTGGATAAGCATTGCGTTATCGATGAAGATTGAAAGAAGTTCCGACATGTGTATAATTTCACGGATATGGATTTTATATTTCAGATGAATAGAGTTTTTCATCAATAGATAATTATAAACAATCTGTAAAATCTAACCCGCTTAAAGAACTATAGGTTATTGAATGTATCTTTGTCACGTATTTTATGGCGAAAGTCAGTGATCGAATGTCTTCTTATTCCGCCATTGCTGTACAACGTATTTGCCGTTATGACAGGCTGTCAATAATGGAGCTTGACACTGTATGCCCAAATAAGGAATCGGACCAGGGTATTGTCGTGGCAGGCGAAGGTTTTAAACACTACACAACCTAACTAACCTAAATACACGGAGTAAGTAAGCCTTTTGTGTGTTTGTTGTTTAACCCCGCATTCAGCAATATTCCAGCTACATGGCGGTCTGTAAATAATCGAGTCTGGACCAGAAAATCCAGTGATCAGCAGCATGTTCATCGATCTACCAATGCATTTTAGAAAATGGTCAAATGCAACATATGTTATATTTGGAATTACACCTTCTTGGTAAAGTACATAGAATCCAGTGATCAAGAGAAGGAGCATCAATCTACGCAATTGGGATACGATGACGTGTGTCAACCAGGTCAACGAACCTGACCACCCGACCCCCTCTTACTACAAGCATAGGTTGCTGAAGACCGATTCTAACCTGAATCTTCACGGGTTGAGTACTGACTGACTCAGGGGCGGATACAGCTTTTTGAGAAAGGGGGGGGTGCACACTGTTGAGAAAAGGGAGGGTGCACACTTCATTTTTGCCCGAGTTTCAATGGTCATTTAATAAACTTTCAGGACAAAAGGGGGGGTGCGCACCCCTGCACCCCCCGTCTGGATCCGCCTATGACTGACTGAGATTGGTTTTACGCCGCTTTTAGCAATATTCCAGCAACATCACGGCGAGGAACACCAGAAAAGTGCTTCACACATTGTACCCATGTGGGGATTCGAACCCGGGTCTTCGGCGTGACGAGCCAACGCTTTAACCACTAGGCTACCCCACCGTCCCACACGGGTTGAGTAAGTCAGCATGTTTATGTGTTGTGACAGTCATGTATGAGTGAGTGAGTTTGGTTTTACGCCGCCTTTAGCAATATTCCATCAACATCACAGTGGGGGACACCAGAAATGGACTTCACACATTGTACAAATTTCGGGAATCGAACCAGGGCCTTCGGCGTGACGAGCGAACGCTTAAACCACTAGGCTACCCCGCCGCCCCCAGTCATGTACGAGGTAACTTTGATAGACCATCATATAATAATAATAATAAGAGTATTTATATAGCGCTGACCTCCACCACACAAAGGCAATGCTCAAAGCGCTGACAAGTCGCAGTTCATATGTACAAGAAAATGCATATATATTTGAATCATGTTGTAGAAAGAGGTGAGTTTTGAGTCTGTTTTTGAAGAGTTGCAGAGTTGGTACTAGTTTTAGATCAAGAGGCAGAGAGTTCCAAAGGGTAGCAGCTGCATACTCAAAGGACTTGGCACCAAACGATTTGAGCTTATAAGTAGGCATGGACAGGGGAAACTGATCATGGGAGCGGAGAGTCCTGGAGGGAGTGTACAGTGTCATGAGTTCTTGAAATATCCTTGGAAATAACTGTTTTTCCTTCGTTTGTATTAAAGTGATCTGCTAGCTGTGAGTCATCAGCATTAAAGTGATGGGCAACCTGCTGTTGGGAGATGCTACGTCCAAGTGGTCTCGTATACATTGTAAATAATATAACACCATTTCGTTTGGACACAGTCGTGAATTTATGAGCGACTGAAAAATGTTTGAGGCCGCTTTTAGCAATATTCCAACAATTCCAGAAAATGGGCTTCACACATTCAATCCATGTGAGGAATCGAACCGGGGTCTTTGACGTGGCGAGTGAGCGCTTTATAGCCACTAGGCTACCTCACCGCTCCTCGAAACTATAATTTAATTTCACTTCATAAGATCACAACAAAATATCAACAATTATTTTGTTTTGTCGTTCCTGATTACTTACGACGCTAATACGTAACAATTTAATTATCTCCATTTGATACTATGCCACGAGGACATGGTGCATTGCGTGCCATTTAAAATGTGTTTGGTTCGGGTTCAAGTGCGTTTAGTGAGATAACAATTTACATGTTTATTTACCGGTTAGGGGCCTGTGGGTTAGCCTGGCGGGTTTTGTTACGGGGACAGGGCGAAGAGGTAGACAAATGTTAAAGCGTTCGCTCGTCACGCTGAAGACCCTGGTTCGATCCCCACATGGGCACAATGTGTAAATCCCATTCCTGGTGTCCCCGCCGCTTTTGACAATATTCCAGAAATATCATGGCAGGGGACACCAGCAATGGCCTTCACACATTGTACCCATGTGGGGAATCGAACCCGAGCCTTCGGCATGACGAGCGAACGCTTTACAATTAACCATTAAGCTACCCCACCGCCCTACTAACATATCCCTACTGTGTTGAGTTGAGCATTTGTGTCAGTGGTATTCTACTAAAGTAAACTTTCTAAATGACAGTGAGTAAACTGATTTACGCCGCTTGTAGCAACATACTAGCTATGCTGATTAGTGACAACAGGAAGCTAATTCTGTTTCAGCATGGCTTTGGGTTTGTGTGGATCTGGCAAGAAATTGGCTGCATTAAAGCATTTATATCTGGCTTCAAACAGAGATTTTATGACTGCTTCCTTCAAAACTGGCGCGCCTATCTTGACTCTTCATCGAAATGTGAGGTGAGATAAAATTGGGTTTTACGTCGTGCTTGAGAATATTTCACTCATATGACGACGTGCATACGTGTGTAAGTGTATGTGCGGCTGCTTGTACTAGCCCAGACTTAAGCTGGTTTTATAGTGCTAACCCACCATGCCGCAGTGAAGCAGGAATACCCCACTCAGACACATTATACTGACTCCAAGCCGACCAGTCCTTGTTGTACCCATGAATGCCGAGCACCAGGCAGGGACCAACAAGTACCATATTTTAACGTCTTTTGTTATGACGCGGTCGGGGATCGAAGCATCTAAATGTTAATATTCACAATTTAAATCTTTACTTAATGTTGAACACTACTTGTCCTGTGACCTCCTTCCATATCAACGGGAAGTTATAACCATGTTCCGCTGTAACAACTTTAGACTAGCAGTGGAAACCGGCCGCCACACAAATACACCCTGTGATCAAGATCTCTGCCTCTACTGCCACTCTATTGGTTTAAACTATGTTGAAGACGAGCTCCATGCCCTACTGATCCTGTGGTAAATATTCTGAAATAAGAAAGAAGTGTTTCACAACCCACCAGACCCACCCTCCTACAATTGAAACTTTTGTGCGCTTAATTATCTGTAACATCACCTATACACCTTTTCTCCGATAGAAAATCCAAACTTAGAAGTGTGAAAAATTCATGCACATTTTGAGAGTCAATGTTGCATTTTCTCTAGGGTAAACAATATAAAACTATCTTAGGGTCGGGTCGAATATTTTAATCGGGCGGTAATGAGACTGACTGACTGAGTTTGGTTTTACGCCGCTTTTAGCAATATTCCAGCAACATCACGGCGGGGGACACCAGAAATGGGCTTCACACATTGTGCCCATGTGGGGAGTCGAACCCGGGTCTAAGGCGTGACGAGCCAACACTTTAACCATTAGGCTACCCCACCACCCCCGCAGTAATGAGAAACAAGATTATTTTTATTACGGCCTTAATAAACAAAACAAGTGACTTTTCAGAATCGTTTATTAATAAAGCTCAGAAAGACGTTTGATTGAACACATGGAAAGGATATACATATACATAGTATATATCACTCTATATTTATCACATTTTGCCCGACAAGCTCACAGCGCTTCCGTGTACAGTCACAATAAGCACGCACGAAACAAATAAACAAAGGCTACAGAATGAATTGCTATGAAGTATGAATCGTGCAAATTGTTTTACGAGATGCGATTAGGCCCGTGATACTCTTAAAAAGAAATTATTTTGGAGATATTTGAATATTGACTCAATAATGAGTTAGTGAGTAAGTGAGTATGGTTTTGCGCCGCTTTTAGCAATATTCCAGCAATATCAGGATGGGGGACACCAGAAATGGGATCCACACATTGTACTCATATGTTGAATCGAACCCGGGTCTTCGGCGTGACGAGCAAACGCTTTAACCACTAATCCACCGTCCCTCACGAATGAGTGAAGCCCTGAGATAAGCGTATCTGATCAGGGTATCTCTAAAACGAATATAATCCAGGAGATCCGACTGCAAAAAGTAATGCTTCTTGTTATATTGTGTTGTTTATATACATTCTGACGTTTATGTGAGCACCTATCATCTACACCATAAAGGGTTCTGCAGAAAAAAATGAGTTCTTCTTTGGAAGATGTCGTAATTTCCGAATTGTGGCGTAAAGAAATATAGCTTAATTGTTATAGAAAGCTGACACGTGATTGGTCATGAACCCACGCTTCACATAATATATAACCGTGAAGATCCGGGTTAGAATTGGTCTTCAGCAACCCATGCATGTCGTAAGATGCGGCTAACGGGATCGGGTGGTCAGGCTCACACGTGTCATCGTGGGTCGATGCTCATACTGTTGATCACTGGATTGCCTGGTCCAGACTCGGTTATTTACAGACCGCCGCCATACATCTGGAATATTGCTGATTGCGGCGTTAAAAAACAAACAAACAAACAAACACCTTTCAATTTAAATCAGATTAATTTACACAACAACGGGGTGTAATTATCGAAGTCGTCTAATGGATGATCTGCAGTAATATACAAAAGGTGTGTTGTATTCACAAACGCAAACTATTTTTGTCTATGAAATATCATCTGTATTTTCAACTCTTAATGAATTTACATTCACTGATTCTTCGGACAAATATGACCCTACGATTCTTCAAAGACCTATTCAGATCATTTGAACCTCGGGTGGGTCTACCACTTGTGACCAAATATCCCGTGGTGATGATGATGATCGTGATGATCATGATGATGGTGATCATGGTGTCCATGATGTCCGTGGTGATGATCATGGTGATCGTGGTGTCCATGGTGATGAGAGTCGTGGTGATGGTGGTGGTGGTCACTGTGTCCGGTGAGGCCCCTGAAGACGGCTCCAGCCGCCATTCCGAGAGCTGTACCCACGCCCACGTGATGGTCATGGTGATGGTCGTGTTTTTCCTGTGAACGATGACGTCACATGGTCATTTAATACGTCATGATGACGTAACAGATGTGGGTAGATTGTTTGTTATCCAATATTCAATATTTAATCAGATAAAATTATATATCTATAGTCTAGCTCAGCTACAGTACCATACAAATATAACTCACCTCAACTAGCCTTCCATCTTTATAGACGCTTTTACAGTGACCATCATTGACAACGGTCTTAGTGTGCCCGTCCTTGTAGACAGTTTTGGTATTTCCGTCCTTCACAACCACCTTATCTCCCCCTGGATACCCGGGGTATCCTTGGGCAGCGCCTGCTGGGTATCCTTGGGCAGCGCCTGCTGGGTATCCAGGGTAGGCGCCTGCGGGAGGCTGATTAGGATAGCCGGGGTAACCTGAATAAAAACAAATTACCCAATCAGTATAAGGTTATATAGGGCGACTCGGCGCGCCCACCGCAGAGAGAAGTTCAAATGTTTGGCTTAAAAGTGTAGAGGATAAAACTATTTATAGTGAATGGATGCGGACTGAGTGATGTGTTCAGAAATCCATATAATTATTCCTCCAAATGGGTTTCATCACAAGCAGAAATGACATTAAGAGATCATTTCTATCAATCCTGGCGAAGTTCTGTTATCAATAGCTCAAAGGGAAATAATTATGAACTAATTAAAGAAATCCCGTCTTTCGAACAATTTTTACTTCTCGAAAAATCATTAAATGTCCGGCTTTTGAAATTAAGAACAAGCAATCACAATTTTCCAGGAGAAACCGGCAGATGGCGTGGTCTGTCCCGTGTGGATAGAAAATGACCTGTGTGATTCTCCCGCGATTGCAGATGAAATACATTATTTATTTAGATGTACAGCCTTTAAAACAGAACGTCGTCTTTTAAATTTTATTTTAAATGACCAAATACGTACAAATACAAAATGCTGCACAAGAAAACTGAAGAATCTGTCGAAACATTTACATATTGTTTTTGAAAGTTAAAATGATCTATATTATTGATATCATCTTTATTGTCTGTTTATGAAATACAACATGTATATGTATATTTGCATTCTCTTGTACCACCATGGGTGGTTTCTGAGAATTAAACTTTGATTGTTTACTAGTTAACCGGATTTGAAACTTGATCTGTTATACTGTGTCCGCGTTACAAAGCTACATGCACAGGATATGATATATATAACACGCATATTGGAGTTCACGTTCCTACATAGACATTCTCCGTGTCATGATGAGCCCAGATGGAATATTTTCTTGCCTTATATCAGCAGGTACATGTTACAGAGTCTTGTGAAACTCTTAAATATACTCCCAAGTCAAGATGTAAACACATATAATTTTTTTTCGATTTTTTCTCTATTTTGCGCGATTTTTAATTTGAATATAAAATATTTTGATTCAAAGAAGTAAATCGAGAACATGTGAAAAACATGTTAGAGTGAGTGAATATTGACTCAATAATGAGTTATATATAGTGAGTAGGGAGTATGGTCCCACCGCTTTTAGCAATATTCCAGCAATATCAGGGCGGGGGACACCAGAAATGGGCTTCATACATTGCTCCCATGTGGGGAATCGAACCCGGATCTTCAGCGTGACGAGCGAACGCTTTAACCACTAGGCTACCCCACCTCCCCAAAACATGTTAGAAAAGAGTCGATGTTGTGTTTGCTTGATTGTTGTTAAACGCCTCACTTAGCAATGTCTAGCTATATGTCATGAGTTGCACGTTTTGAAGTGAGGCTGACGTTTACGATATTGGCTAATTTACGACCTTTAAAATACCACTTAACCATTGAGCAAGTGGGTAACACAAAAATATTTTTAAATATGTCTATCCTGTCTGTATTGACAATACAAAAGAAACATCAGCTTGAGTGGACGACTTGCTCACTATACTACCAAGAAAAAGACAACCCCAAAGTACTACAATTTGTACTTTACTCAGAAAGTTTAATCCCAAATGTGACATGTTGTATTTGTCAACTCAAAAGTGAGTATGGTTTTACGCCGCTTTCAATATTCCTGCAATATCACAGCGGGGGGAAACCAAAAATGGTTATCACACATTGTGCCCATGTGGGGAATCGAACTCGGGTCTTCAGCGTGACGAGCGGACGATGTAACCATTAGGCTACCCTATCGTCTCACTTTCTGAAAAGCTTTGCCCCGCCGTGATATTACTGGAATATTGCTAAAAGCGGCGTAAAACCATACTCACTCACTCTAAAAGTCATTGTGTATTCAAAGTCTTAACACATTCACAAGAAGACGTTTAAAAACTTAACACACGATTTTCAATTTTGTTTTGATAATCCCTCATGGTATTCATACCCCAATACATGTATATTATATTCCATTGCGAGTAGAAATCGAAGCATACATAATATAACTGTACAATTACCTGGATAATTGCTCATGCTGGCTCAACAAGTAGTTGTCTATGTCTGTCCGGGCTTCACGGGATGAATGACAGGTTGTTATAAACACGGTGTATATATACACCACAGCGGCTGTGATTCAGCGTGGTGAAATAAACACGATAACGAATATGATGCGTGGGGCGTGTGTCACATGCTTCGCGTCAGGTCACATGACGTCCTTGTTTTTCATCCGCGGTGTTGAAATTGATCTGTGTCACATACACAAACTGGGTTAGCCAGACAATTGCTGATTAAATTCGTTATCTTAAGGTGTGCTTAAATGTGAACTTTGAGTTATTAAGCAATAGCATCTAGACTTGTGATATTATCTTTTCAATTTGTTTATATGATATCAATAATAGTTTTCGTTAACATTGCAAACAGAAATACACCAGCTGTGATAGAGACATAGACATCATCACCGATCGAATAAATATATAGGATCAAACATATTCATTAATTTGAATGTTTCAACAAACTTTTAAAACCATTATAATTAATATGAGTTTCTGTTTATATGTGACCTGTGTTTTGTCATTGAGTTTATACCCGTGAAGATCCGGGTTAGATTTGATCCTCAGTAACCCATGCTTGTTGTAAGAGGCGACTTACGGGATCGGGTGGTCAGGCTCGCTGATTTGGCTGACACATGTCATCGTATCCCAATTGCGCAGATCGATGCTCATGCTGTTGATCACTGGATTGTCTGGTCCAGACTCGATTCTTTCCAGACCGTCGCCATATAGCTGGAATATTGCTGAATGCGGCGTAAAACTAAACTCACTCACTCATTGAGTTTATGTTCAATATGGGTGGAGCGTTGTATCGGATCGCTTTAAATTGACCACCCAGTTTCAATATAGATACACAATCAGAAGTAGTTTATGGAGCAGTACATCCACATGACAGTTTTATGTGACAGCAGAAGTTGTCAAATGCGATTTCATAATTGGGAGACAGCAACAGAATTTGGGTGATGCATGATTCTAGAAGTCAGCATATTTACTTGGAATGAGGTGAGGTGAAATTGGGTTTTACGCCGTACTTGAGAATGTGACACATGCGTGTGTATGTGTATGTGCGGTTGCTTGTACTAGCCCAGACTTTAGCTGGTTTGTAGCGGCCATAACATTTCCGAGTCCCCTGCTGGGATTCGAACCACGGACCTTCTGATCAGAAGTCGGACGCCTTGTCCACATGACCAAAGAGGTTAACCCTAAGGTAAGGATGTCATCTGTGGAATGACTCCACGCCCTGCTACAGGTTTATAGCTCTAGCCCACTGAGATACCATGCCGCTGTGAAGCAGGAATACCCCACTCAAACACATTATACCGACTCCGAGCCGACCAGTCCTTGTTGTACCCATTAATGCCGAGCGCCAGACAGGGACCAACAAGTACCATATTTTAACGTCTTTTGGTATGACGCGACCGGGGATCGAACCTGCTACCTTCCGCTCTCCGGGCGGACGCTCTAACCACTACACCACGGAGGCGGTCCTACTTGGAATGAGTGTTGGAATCTATGTAAAGTAAATACATAAATATAGCATGATAATCATCTACAACAGAAAGTAAATAAGAATGTAAACATATACATTATCAGGGAGCTGTTATGGAGACTAGTGACTAAAGCGTTCGCTCGTCACGCCGAAGACTCAGGTTCGATTCCGCACTTGGTTAGGGGGCGGTGGGGTGGCCAGCAGGTGGTTAGAGCGTTTGCTATAGTCCGTTTGATTTCATTTGAGGCCGATGAACTGATCACTAACACAATATCTAATAAATGCAACAAAACCAAATTTTGCAGTCACCTGAAATCGACAGACCAACTCTGATGAGTTGTCTTATAATTTTGGTGACCCGAAATAAAAAAAGGTGTTTAACAAACGTTCATTATTTTGTTGTCACTTTTCGCTATTTGTTATGAGCAAGGAACATTTGCTGGTTTATGTTCGCCAGGTGTTCGAGCTGCACCTATGAAATTGAAATTTCACTACATACGCTTGTTGATTACCTGGCTGTTCTACCAGCAAGTGGTCCTCCCTCGTTACAAATAGCGAAAAGTGACAACAAAAGAACGGTTGTTTGTTAAACAAAATAGTCGTACACAGGTCAAGATAGTCCTAGACAGACCTACATAGTCATACACAGACCTACATAGTCATACACAGACCTACATAGTCATACACAGACCTACATAGTCATACACAGGCCTAACTAGTCATACACAGACCTACATAGTCATACACAGACCTACATAGTCATATACAGACCTACATAGTCATACACAGACCTACATAGTCATACACAGACCTACATAGTCATATACAGACCTACATAGTCATACACAGACCTACATAGTCATACGCAGGCCTACATAGTCATACACAGGCCTACATAGTCATACGCAGGCCTACATAGTCATACACAGGCCTACATAGTCATACACAGGCTACATAGTCATACACAGACCTACATAGTCATACGCAGGCCTACATAGTCATACACAGGCCTACATAGTCATACGCAGGCCTAAATAGTCATACACAGGCCTACATAGTCATACACAGGCTACATAGTCATACGCAGGCCTAAATAGTCATACACAGGCTACATAGTCATACACAGGCTACATAGTCATACACAGACCTACATAGTCATACGCAGGCCTACATAGTCATACACAGACCTACATAGTCATATGCAGGCCTACATAGTCATACACAGGCCTACATAGTCATACACAGGCTACATAGTCATACGCAGGCCTAAATAGTCATACACAGGCTACATAGTCATACACAGGCTACATAGTCATACACAGACCTACATAGTCATACGCAGGCCTACATAGTCATACACAGGCCTACATAGTCATACGCAGGCCTACATACTCATACGCAGGCCTACATAGTCATACGCAGGCCTAAATAGTCATACACAGGCTACATAGTCATACACAGGCCTACATAGTCATACACAGACCTACATAGTCATACACAGGCCTACATAGTCATACACAGGCCTACATAGTCATACACAGGCCTACATAGTCATACACAGGCCTACATACTCATACGCAGGCCTACATAGTCATACACAGGCCTACATAGTCATACGCAGGCCTAAATAGTCATACAGGCCTACATAGTCATACACAGGCCTACATAGTCATACACAGGCCTACATAGTCATACGCAGGCCTACATAGTCATACACAGGCCTACATAGTCATACGCAGGCCTAAATAGTCATACACAGGCCTACATAGTCATACACAGGCCTACATAGTCATACACAGACCTACATAGTCATACACAGGCCAAGATAGTCAAACACAGGCCTACATAGTCATACACAGGCCTACATAGTCAAACACAGGCCAAGATAGACAAACACAGGCCTACATAGTCAAACACAGGCCTACATAGTCAAACACAGGCCTACATAGTCAAACACAGGCCTACATCGCATACGTTGAATAAACATCGCGTTCACGCAACACGCCATATCTTGGCGAGAAGATAGCATGGTGACCGGCAGTCTAACTACGGATAACAATGTCGGGCGAGATGACACAAGGTCGTCAAGTCCTAGTACTCTTACCTAATTAACAATTATAAATAATTATAGAACTATACGTCAAAGTATAAGTATGTAAAATCTGCCGAGCAAAGAAAGTATACCACTGGCCGAAGACTACCAATGAAACAAACCAGAGTGAGTGAGTGAGTGGGTTTGGTTTCACGCCGCTTTTAGCAATATTCCAACAATATTACGGCGGGGGACACCAGGAATGGGCTTCACACATTGTACCCATGTGGGAATCAAACCCGGGTCTTCGGCGTGACGACCGAACCGCTTTAACCACCAGGCTACCCCACCACCCGAAACAAACAAGAATTTAATTTAGATGTTCCATGGTATTGTATTGGTCGTGTTATGGACCTCAACCTGGCTGTATTCGGTTTGAAATCGTTTGCATTTTTAAAATCTAGTTCAGCTTTTAACTTTACACTTTCTTTTGCCCGACTGTTTAATGATAATATATGTCTGTCGACCGAGGATTGTCTGGTATCTGATACAGAAACTGTTATGCTCGGAGAAATATATTTAGTTGAGATGGGCAATGTGGTAGCCTAGTGGTTGAAGCGTTTGCTCGTCACGGCCAAGACCCTGGTTCGGTTCCCCATTTGGTTAATATGTGTGAAGCCCATTTGTTCTGTCCCTATCGTTATATTGATGAAATATTCCTAAAACTATCTCACTCTCCGACTCATCGAATTGTGCTCCGAAATGTAATTTTGCGTGACAACATCACAGCCTGACACCGTCGTCTCATGCTCCCAATAATTGTCTGGATGGTTGCCAAGTGAAGATTGTTCCACTCTTCAGTAAGAGCAGTCCCGAGGTACTGTAGAGTTGCCGTAAGGACAGGAAGCCGTGAGATGCCGATCGACAGCTCATTCCACACAGCTCTAAAGGGTTGAATAGGGTTTCTATGTTGACTTTAAATTAACACCACTGGTCACCAATACGACGAGGTCGTGTTTTGTCGTCCACGAGAATGGTGACAGGTCCGATTGCACCTGTGTACGGGCATACGTACACATTCAGAAACAAATCGCACACCCGTCATGGTCCCAAGCTGTAGGAAGCACATAGAGATCGATCATTCCACTTTTACTGATCACGCCCTAAATTATCAATAAGCCCTTTTCATAGCGGTCATGTTCGACTACGTTCGAATCCTGAAATGTGTCTCCTTGTCTATCCTGATCTCTGAAGTCTAGAGAATATCACAATTAGTGAAATGTACAGCCCTGGTCTACCCAGTCGACGTGATCTTCAGGCCTATCCAACCGTGCCTGCCTGTAATATCAGAATGTGGAATGCGATACACGCCTTCCGTGACCGACAACCAGCATCACGGAGACATGGAAGAAATGAGGAGAAATCTTCCCGCTGTCTGGTAGAACGCTTTCGACCACCTGCATGTCGATGTGCAGCTGAACCAAAATAGGACCGATTCCACGCTCTGCTGGTCACGTTTTGGCTGACACCTTAGACATTTGCAAGGTGATGATGTGCAGAGTCAGACTCTGGCATGCCTATGTATCTGTCAAACTTCCGTTG